CCATGGGCCCTGCGACTGGGGGGACGAGGTAGTGCTGATGCATGCTGTTAAGGCACGTCAGTCAGCCATTCCTTTCCAGGACGCACGATACTGATAGACGCACAAAGAACAATCCCACGGGACACGGCCCGTCGTCGGACAGATAGAGTAGAGACCCTGCAAGGCAGCCGGGATGCGAATCGAGCCCCCGATATCCGTCCCGATGCCTAGAATACTGCCTCCTGTGCCGATCAGGGCGCCTTCGCCTCCGGAGCTGCCGCCGGAGATGAGCTCGTGGTTGAACGCGTTGATGGATTGGCCGAAGACATGGTTGTACGAGTCAGACATCTGAGCCTTGTCAGCAGGAGTAGACGGAGTGAGACAGCACGCATACCATCAGAGACTGTGGTATATTCGTCTTGACATAGAGCACTGCACCCATGGACTCTAGCAATCTGGCGATGGAACTGGACCTCTGAGCTGGCTTGCCAATTAAACCAACCCATCCTGTTCATACTCCCGTCAATCTTAAGAACCAAGTCCCACACAAGCAGCAATAACATACCAACCGTAGTATCAATCCCCTCCACATCAAACCGATCCTTGATGGAGACCGGTAATCCATGCAGAGGTCCTGTCAGGACACCAGTCTTCTCATACTGATCATCCAGCTCCTTCGCTCGCGCCAACGCCCGGTCGAAAAAGATCTCCGTCAGACACTTGATCATCTGCTGCGCGATTGCCGCCCGCTTGCAGAATGCCGTGGTCAACTGCACGGAACTCACCTCTCTTGAAGCCAGGAGGGAAAGGAGATTTGTCACATCGTTAGCCCCGGTCCATTCAAGCTCCTGCGCAGAAAGGATGCCGCATGTTCGGATGGTTTCGAGGGTGTTGGGGAGGGGAGGAGTGAGGGTTGCGGGAGGGAGACGCCAGGATGGGGGGATGGCGTTGAGTTGGGCCGTGCGTTTTTGTTGCACAGCTGATTTCCAAGGTCGTGTTGTTGAGATTGCCATAATGTTCATCCGTTTGTGTGGTTAGAGGTGATGGATCGAGGTGTGCAGGTATGGGAAGTTTACGGGACTGCTGTATATAGATGTCCTTTGGTTGCAGATAACGGGGTAGCGGCATGATACATTTCTGATAGATGATTGATCCTTCAATCAATGGAAGATATACAAGGAGCGTGTCCCATCTGTTCGATGCGCCGGGGATATTCTGTCCAATCCAGACGGGAAGCTGTATCTCAGATCTGATATCTGAGGGTTTGTCTGCGGGGAACAAAGAGGGGCAGAAGGTTGGATTGCCGAATCCCCTCACCCAGAGCAGGCCGAATGGCAATGGCTTATCCTGGTCCGAGTATGTATAAGCTGACCCAGGCGAATTACAAGAGCTGCTAGTGATACAAGGCCGATGTTGTTGATCTCTGAATCAAGGAACTGATACAAGAGCAATGATTTCATGGTATGGTTATGATTCAATATCATTTACAGTACTGATACATTGGTCTAAACCGTCATCAGCATGCTGGCATTCTTATACCAGCTCAGCAGCGGATTCTCGCCGCTCCTCGTCTCGGTGTCCTCTATATACGCCCAACGGCGGACAAAGTCCTCGTGGCTCATCACCTGTGTCAATTTCCCGGTGATGGCGCGGTAGAGATCCTCGATGACGTTGAAGTCGGTGGGGAAGAATATATCGAAGTAGCCTTGATGAACCTGTCATTGCACGGTTATAATGTGTCCGTACTCTCTCAAACAAAAGGACTCACGAATGGGGTAGACACTGGCACTGTTCGTCTCTTGTAACGTGTCTGCACCACTGGCGCATTGATACCAGGAACAGCATCCGGGAGACTACTGAAGTCACTCGCGACCAGCCGATGTGCAGGAAAGTAGCTATCCAAGATGTCAAAGAACTGCATTAGCCGAGTGGGAATATACTCTGGAAGGGTATAAGGGCTCTGGAAAGGCAGGGAACCACGCAATTGGCGCGTGACTTTGGGGCCCAGAGGACTCGGGAACGGCCGACGCGCCGCAGCTTGTCTCACACGCAAGAACCGAGATGCCACGGGGTCGATTTGCGCATTGTAGTATTCGTGAAATTCGCCATCCGCATCAATCAGTATGCCGCCTTGTTGGGGAAGTTCCGTCTTGCAGTCATATCGAATCGCATCGTGAGAGAAATTATCAAACACCTCCAACGCGAGAAAGAAGCAAGGCGAATGTACATAGGTATCCCAGTCAAAGATGGATCGGTTGATGATTTCAACGTGGTCCATATGACCAGCCGCATTCACCGAATCGGTCAGATTCTTCATCTGCAGGCCCGCGAGTGTGGGCGAGATCTCAATGATCTTGAACTTGGTTCGCTGGTATACTTCGTAATCTGTCTCTCGGATGAAATCCAAAATGTTGATCATCATTGTACCGTTGCCGGCTCCCATTTCGTAGATGATCAGGTCATGATAGGGGTACAATGTCAATTTATAGTTTGACACCAAGTATCGAGCGATTGTCTCCCCGTAATAAGGGCGGAACAGTTCGGTAGGAGTATGCCACAATTGACGGGCCACGTCCGGCTGTGTCGCATCTAAGTTATCTTCAAATTCTGTATACCGCTCTCCGAGCATGCGATGGAATGCCGGCCCGTCTTCGATGTTATTGAAATCAAACGGCTCCCCGGGGCTGAAGATGGTCGCGTGTTTCGAGAAATAGCCGTAATGAGGATTATACAAACTATCTATACAAAGAGAAGATCCAGTCAGTACTCCAAGTGCATTTGCCATTGATAGATATTTCTGCAGAGCAAGCAAAAGTCACGTACCATCAATGAATTCTCTCGTCAACATCTTCACTTGCCGCGGGCGCTCGCGACGGTTCCGCAGATCTTTCGCCGTGACAAGCGGATATGTCTTCAATTCCTCCTCAATGTCTCTGGGATAATCCCCCCGTTTGAGCCAATGCATCCCATCATCGGTACTCTTGCGCTTGGCCGGTGACCGTCGCGTGAGAAAAGGACGACAATGTTGACGAACTGGCGCCTGCAACCGGACGCAATTTGCTCTGCGGGATATTGGTGACGATGTCCTCAATGATTGACAAGCAGGATGTCGGAACAGCTGTCGAAACAGCTGACTCAGGATCTGGTTGTCCATAGGACGATGGAACGATGGGGGATTTTCAGGAGATATAACTAGATATTGCCGTACACAATTGACAGATGACGATAATGATGGATGATGGATGGAGGCCGGCGGAGGAGTTCCTCAAGTGGCCCGAGCTTTTTTCTCCGACTCTTCCTCCTCTGACCTCACTTGCTCGAACGTGATCTAATCGCTCTTTTGAATTTGGGCGCCTTTTTTGTAAAGTTCGACCGATCACAGAGCTTACTTTCCTCAAGATGTATGATCATTCTAGGGTCTATATAGGAACCGCCTTTGTGGCTGGAATCCTCCTCGCGGTGGGATTTACTGAGCTTCTGTATCCGGAGTTGAAGCATCGCCTCCGAGGAACTCCTTCTCGGTCGACAACCAGCTTGCAGGATAGCTCCGCAGACTCGTTGACAGCCAGGTCGGGACCTCCTGTCATTGTAAACGGCATTGAAGGCTGCATTGGGAATACTCCCCTGTTGCGCATCAAATCCTTGTCAGATGCGACTGGATGCGAGATTCTTGGAAAAGCAGAGGTATCGTTATTTCGTCTATTCGTCTACATTTGAGGGAAATCGATCCTAATGCTGCTGTAGTTTCTGAACGGAGCAGGTCAGAGCTCCAAGGACCGAGTGGCTTTAAGCATGATTGAGATTGTATGAGATACATGCCTCGATTCCTTCTCATGTCCATTATTAACCTGCGAAGGCCGAGGACAAAGGTATCTTGAAACCTCACTCGGGAGATACCATCTACGAGGGCACGTCCGGTTCGACAGGCATTTCACTGGCCACGCTCGCCAGAGCAAAGGGCTACCTCGCTCACATGTGAGTATTGACTCGTGGGCTTACACATGAAGTGTTCATGCCGCAACTGACACTCAATAGCTGCATGCCATCCGATCAAGCAATCGAAAAGTCCAACCTACTCCTGAAATTAGGCGCAATTGTAGATCGTGTACCTCCCGCACCGATCGTTGAAAAGGAAAACTTCGTCAATCGCGCGCGCGCCCTCGCTCAAGCTCAAACACTGTCTCCCACGGGTGGAACAGGCTTCTTCGCGGACCAGTTCGAAAATGAAGCCAATTGGAGAGCTCATTATAACGGTACAGGTCCGGAGATTTATGCCCAGTGCAACGGGAAACTCGATGCGTTCGTCGCCGGCGCCGGTACTGGGGGTACAATTTCTGGCGTCGCCCTCTTCTTGAAACCCCGGATTCCAAACTTGAGTGTAGTGCTGGCTGATCCTCAGGGAAGTGGACTCTACAACCGAGTACGATTCGGTGTCATGTTTGATCTCAAGGAGAGAGAAGGCACGAGGAGGCGAAGACAGGTTGACACGATCGTCGAAGGCATTGGGATTAACCGCGTCACCGCCAACTTCGAAGCCGGAAAGGAGCTCGTCGACGATGCTGTGCGAGTGACGGATGCGCAGGCGTTGGCCATGGCTAGATGGTTAGTCGAAAAGGATGGTATCTTCATTGGAAGTAGCAGTGCTGTCAATTGTGGGTATATTCTTGGTACCTAGTCTGCTACCTTGCTAATCATTATGATACAGGCTTTGCGGCAGTCAAAACAGCGATGAAGCTGGGTCCCGGCCATAGGATCGTCACAGTCCTGTCCGACTCTGGCTCAAGGCACCTATCTCGATTCTGGGCCAAGGCTGGAGATGTCGGCGGTGCGGTAGATACCAAGCTTGAGGACGTTCTGAACGCCAAAGACGACGAGTAGCGGTTCGAGCACAAATCACGTCAATTCTTGGATTACCGTTAGAGAAAGGTGCAGGGGTTTGCTGTCAAAGCGTGCCGCAATCGTATCATTGCGGCATTAGCCAACCTGCCTTTCGTTGGTGCTGGAACTTCTGGGTGCGCGCCTCACACGTTCTCCTTCTCCTTCTCATGATCGTCCTCTTCCAGGGGCGCTCTGGGCTCGGTCACAGAGACATAGTCGAGAGTGACTGCTCGGCGGATTTGGGCTTGGTTGCCTGTCGGCTTCGCTTCGCTCACGAGCTTTGCAAATCCGTACTTTGAGCCGTCATCCAATTCAGCCCAGAGTCTCAACAGTGCGAACTCTATTTCTGCGTGTGAACGACCGGGAAGGGCGGCACGAATACCGGGCCAAGTTAAACCTTGTTGGTCCTTGAAGCTCTGCAATTTGTCCACCTCCTCCTTCGACCAAGGGTTGGAGAGTCGAGGCGGCTTGTCATGCCGTTCAGTCCAATGCGTCTGGTTCCACTGGATGAGTGAAATTAGTTTTCGCTGCGGAAAATGTTCTAGGACTTCCTTCCATTTCTTTCCTTCAATTTGCCTCATGCGGACGATCAGCTTCGCCTCGTCTGGAGTCATCGGTGTCCTTTTGGCTCCAGCACTAGTGGACGCCTGCGCTATGACCGGGTCTGCGTGTTGCTCAGCCTCGGAGATAGGTGTATCTACAGAAATACACTGATCTGCATGTATTTTAATGGTTTCAGGCTGTGGTTGTGAAGCTGCGCCGTTGGCGATTTTGGTGTCTGTCGCCCCACGAAGAGCATTCATGGCTAGTTGGGAATCAGGATTTTGCTGAGGGAGAAGCGGTCTGCGCTCATCATTTGTGCGACTCGGAGTGATTTGGACATGTTTTTTGCCCCTAATGTGAATGGCGGTCTTCGGTGTTGGCGATGGTTGATAGTCTTCCTGCAGAGGATCGTCCGACTCGCTTCCGTCAGGGGTTTCTGCAAAGGACCAATTGTGCACGACGGGGCTTGATTGGTGCTTGTGTTTTCGTTGGCCGACTCCAAGTTTCTTTCTGCTTTTTTCTTTTTTGCCGTCCGTGTTGCGCCTTGATTTTCCAGGGAGTGTCCACAGAGACCCCGCTTCTGGAGGAGATGCAGACCGGACAGCAGTCGAAGGAAGCTTCGGGCGTGATCTGTTGAAAATGGGCGTCGAGAACTCGCCTTTAATCTCAGGAACGCGCCAGATAGACTCCGTTGGCTCATCAGCTTTGTCTCCACGCAGCTGTTGGGATTGGTTGGATGTATCAGCCGTAGTATTTGCTTTTGCAGGAAAAGCCTCACTTCCAGCCGGCAGGGCCCGAGTATCAGGTTCATCCGACTCATTGGGGACGATCAATGCACAGTCCAACAAGGAATCCACACTTTTCGTATCGTCATCCAAGTTTAAGCCCGCATCGGCCGTTTCAGGTGGCTGCTTTTCATCATAAGACCGATCTAACCGCAGCGCCGGGAGCGGTTGCAGCGATGTGAGTGGGCGCTGTAGCTGCTCTCCATCCTTTGCGTTGTCACCGCCAGTCTCTGCCTCTGTGTCCGAGACATGTATGGATCCTCCCAGCGTAGCATCAGAGATCTGAATCGCAGAGGTGGGCAGATCTTCCTTGAACAAACACCCGTCCTTGTTGTCCTTTTCCCCAGTGTCATCTTCGCCGGACATCCCCTGTAAGTGACCATTATTGACCACAATCTTCCCTGTCTGTAAATCGATTTCATCCCCAATATCTGTGAAATCTTTTCCGTATTTTTCGAAGATGCGTTCAAAGATCGATTTGAGACGCAAGTCATTTTGGGCTCTGGCTTCCTGCAGGTCTATGTCGTCCGAGTCTTCGCCGTAACCAGCCAAGGATAAGCGGGGTCTTTTCTGAGGCCTTTCCATGATGATTGAGGGTCAAGTGAGCTGCAGAATTCGTAGGCATAGGCAGACACTGAAGGTGAAAGGGCTGTATTCGAGCTTTTCGAGATGCGGTTGTGATGCAGCGGGTTAGGAGAATTGAGGGACTTCCTGTTCGAGGGATGTTGGAAGGATCACGGGAGTCATTGAAGTGTAAATGTGTGAGAGCGTCCATCAATCGTCAAGATCATAAAGTTGTGTTGCAGTATTGTAGGCAGTCGATGTGTTATTCCTGTTTGAATGGGTAGCAAATGGAGGTCGAATGCAATTCACACAATGCGGATGACAAAGAGGACAAAGTGAATGGCAATCCATTCATGAGCGGGACTGTATTGTTATAACCAAAGTTTTCTCTATAGTTAATTGTCTTTCAATAAGGGTGCGAATTTAAGACCTTGAATCTGCTCTCTCCATGGCTCAGAAAGCGGACAAAACACGCGACGCCGAGCACGGGTTGCTGCATGACGTCTCCTCCCTGCGGAACACAGTGCATGTCTCTCCGTGCGCTTTTCAGTCTGGCCAGAACATCACCCAGCTTATCCAACGGGTTCTTCTCTCGCATAATGCATGGAATGACATCTTCAACAATCTATGAAAATGTATTGCCAGAAATGTCGGACGCCGCTGAAGCTGGATGGCTCCCTTGAGTCGCTCAATCCAGCGGCCTTTGACTTGCTCGTCGGTAAAGCTCCAGCTGCATTTCCTATGGACGAATCGCACACGCTCGCTAACTCTTGTCGTTTTCATCAATGAATAGGCTCGACAGGCAAAACTCTTCCGGAAAACAACACTACATCCTCTACACTACTTTCTTTTCCTTCCGAAAGACGAGAGCTCTACGATCGAGTCTCCAAGCATGCTACGTCGCCGGTGTACAGAAGATCGATCCCAGCACCTCGGCCTGCGGGCAGCGGCCAAAGCAACCCTCCTAGGCTGGGCCGAGGAGACAGCGGCAATATGTCGTTCGTCATGCTCACGGAGTCACAGGTCGGCCCACCTCACACCAGCTCGAGCAACAACGGAGAAGGTCAGTCGTGGGCGAACAGACGGCCGTCTGGCGCCCCGAATAACGAACGGGAGCCAGAAGAAGGGTCTTTCTCGGATCAAGTAGAGAGAACAAATCGATTGTTTGAAATCATATCAGCTCGCTCCGATATAGACCACCCGATATGTGTTGAGTGCACGGAGATGCTCATGGATGGGCTACAGAAACGGCTTGTGTCTGCCACCAAGGAGCGGGACGCTTACATATCATTCTTGAGGGATTTGAACTCTTCAGTGCCCAGCGCTGAGGAAATCGAGGCGGCTGAAAAGTCGCTCAAAGAGACTCTCGCGGCAGAAGAGGCGGCATATGAGGAGCTTGTCGCATTGGAGAAGGAAAAGGCCGCCCTGGACGAGGAAATCGCCGCTCTAGAGGAAGAGTCGCAGCAGCTAGACCTCGAGGAGGAGAAGTTCTGGCGAGACCGGAACGCATTTGCTTTGACACTTGCCGAATTTCAGAACGAACGCGATGCCCTGAATATGCGGTACGATCATGATTCACGCCAGCTGGAACGACTACAACGCACTAATGTTTACAATGATGCCTTCTGTATTGGGCATGACGGCTACTTTGGCACCATCAATGGGCTGCGACTGGGTCGTCTGACCAATCCGTCGGTGGAGTGGCCGGAGATCAATGCAGCTTGGGGTCAGACGGCACTACTGCTGGCCACTATCGCTGAGAAATTGGGATTCCAGTTTCAGGGGTATCGACTGAAGCCAATGGGATCCATGTCACGGATTGAGAAAATCGAATATCCACGAACGTCGCCAGCTCAGTCTGCGCTCGGTGGGGGTAGCGCAGAGAGCTCTCCGGCGCCAAAGATCACCACTCTCGATCTCTTCTCTTCTGGAGATCTCCCGCTCAATCTCCCCTGGCTTCACCGCCGGTTTGATGCAGGTATGGTCGCTTTCCTGGAATGTTTACGTCAGCTGGGAGAATTTGTGGAGACGACGCCAGCACCTGCCTCGTCGACTCGTCGGGGTCACGGTAATGCTGCCGTCACAGGGTTGAAACTCCCGTACGAGATCAAGCGGGACAAAATCGGCGATGCGAGCATCAAACTTGGTTTCAACCAAAACGACGAGACCTGGACGCGTGCGTGCAAGTACACGCTTACATGTTGCAAATTCTTACTAGCTCATGCAAGCAATGTTGCCAGTGCTGGATCCAGTAATTCCGCAGCTGTGGCGGCTGCAGCCGTCGCAGCCGGCGAACAGGCCAGACTTGCAACGGCCAGTCCAACTCGAAAGTAGGACCAGCGTCATACCGGACAACATGGATATATGGCATGCTGTGTAGCCTCAAGCAGCTCTTCCTAGTTGATTCGCCTCCTCTCAAGCCGGCGTCAAGCTGGTGTCAAGGATTTCGCTACTACGATCCACCGGGCCGCGCTGCCTATGGCCAATTATGTGGCCGTTGCACTTGTGACATTCGCTTCCAGCGCTCTGGCACCTATCGGGAAGGACAAAAACGTATCCGGACGCAACCTGGTTGGTCTAGATTTGGCACGCAAGTTGTCTCATCGTTGCCTCGGTCCACCCCCTTAGGATCGGAAATCCAGCTGAGGCCTCGACCGGTTCGACTTGGCGTTGTGTCGCTGTGCGAGTGTTGCGGATGACAGTCCTTTGCCCTTGCGTTGTGCCTTGTAGCACGACCATTGTGGTCATTATCTCATAGGAAGCTATAGGCATAGATCGACAGTACTCCGCAGACTTAATGGCATTTCATGCGGTCTCTAGGCGGTAAAGAGGATAGCGTCTTTACCTTTTCTTTCTCTTGCTCAACCATCATGTGGCTCCGGTGCAGAACGGGGGTTCCTCGGACATACCTTCCTATGACCGTAGGAAAATAGATGGGGATGCGAGACCTGCCATAGCGGTCGCCGGACATTTGCTGACAGGACGATTTGTACGGTCCACGACGACGAGTTGGGATTTGATCCTTATTGAATCATGGCAACCAGACCCGGTCCGTGCCTACTCGTCGTCAATTGTTACAAGCGAGGGCAATATGAGGGAAAACGGGAGATCGTCCGTTAGCCTGGCGGCCACTATGACACGTTCCCGTAATAACCAGGGAAGTGGAGGAGGCGCAACGCAATCTTATTCCGGTTATTATAGGTGACAGGTGTCAGGGACTCTTGCATCGGCCTAGTAATAATATTAATGTACGGACCAGAGGGTAAATATACCTCCTACTACTGCTTACCAACTAGTCCAGCTAGACGACGAACAAATCCCACCCACCGCATTGTTTTTTTACTTTTTCGTCCCTCTTGCTTCTCTTTGTCTTCCCCATCACATCCGCCGTTAGGCCAATCGACGAGGGTGGAAGCAGCAACATCGAGAACAAAGAAACCAGAAGGTCCGAGAGCCTGTCATTCTGCTGATCCATATCGCTGGGACTGTCAACCTTTTACTTCATTATTGATGATGATTGATCGCTCATGAAAGATGATCCTACACGTCAAACAAGGAATGGATGTTTCGGGCCGCTCCCGACACACGAGGTTATTTTCTTTCTTTGTCAAACGCCAAAAGCCAAGTGTCCACTCTGCATATTGAAAGTTTGCGAGGCGGACCTGGATAATGTATCATTTTGACTCGAAACGGCGGAACCGGGGACCGGGCCTCCTGACCTGACCTGCAGTTCACTACACTGCACCGCACAGTCTACGGCATTTGCCACCCATTTCGTTTTTAGACTACTCGAGGCGAAAGAATGGATGATTCCGCCACGAATCAGGGTACTGAAAATGACAAGGCAGTGGACGTCCAAAGTCAAGGATCCTTGCTCCCTCAGCTTGGTCTCCCTGACGTTGTGGCTAAGTACTGCTCTAGCCTCTAGCCTCTAGGGCCAGGAGGGATATGTCATCTCAAGATTGAACCGGTTGAAGTAAGGGAGTGCTTACCACCTTACTCCGTAGTAGTGCCGAATGTTGATGGATGCATGATGACTGGGTCTCTGAGTATACTCCATACTTACTGTACTCGGTGACTGTCTTTTCTCTTCCGACCAGTGCTGGCTCTGCCCCTTTGGATGTCTGTGACTTACTACGGAGTACTCTGTGCCGTTGGATTATGCTTAGTAGTCTCGGATAGGGTCCAGTAACCCGTTCCACAGGGGAGGGTGATGAAAGACGGAGAACAGAGTAGCTTTCTCAACAGTATCCTCTACCCAATGAAAGCACATCGGTACTAGAGGAAACCCAGGTTGAATCGTTCGTTTAAAGGTGATAATCTCCGGGTTCTGTGCGACGATGGTCATGGATGTATGTGTGTATGTATGCATGTATGTAATCAGTGTCGCGATATTGTGGGATAGTGGGAAGTACGAGTAGATATCGACTCAGAGCAGTAAGTACGGTAGGTCGATGGAACCGGACGGACACATCCGATCTGGTCCACCAGCATAACCCACCGCCGATTCTTTCCTAAAGGAGTGGACACTCCAGCCGAGTAAGGGTGCCTTACAGTCTCCAGTGCTTTACTTCTTCAGGACGAAGTGACAAGTCTCGACTACTAGGTACTAGGCAGGGCTGTAAGTACTTTCAGTTGGGAGAAGAAAGGAGAAAAGTGGCGATTTTAACAAAGTACTGCATCCAGGTAGAGCAATCAGCGATGACATCTGAGAGTCAGATCACCAGAGGTTGGTTAGTCAGTTAGTCTCCTGGAGACTCGTTACTCAGTATTGAACTGGAGCTCAGACCTCTTCTCCATCATGTCATCGAACCATGACTCGAGACGCTAGGCAGTGCCACATCGATTTTGAATAGCATGGAAGCTGAACAGGCGACATGAACGGTCAATAGTTAGTACTAGATGGGGCGCCTCCTGTCCACTTATCCTGTTACTCGCTCTGTTTTGCCCCATGCCTGGACCTACACAAGTACCGAGATGCTCATACATATGCTGGTGGTCATGATACCCTCCATCCCAAG